CCCAGCTCCAGTTTCTATCTCATCCCGTCCCTCGCCATCCCCTTCTAAACCTTATCCCCCCAAGAGCCACTCCAACAAAAGAAACCAATCTAACAAATATACAATATGGACGCAGAAATGTTAGCTCTAACGGAAGAGGCTTTGTCGCACCTCACGCCAGAATATGAATACCTCTTTCGCAGTCACTTCGACGCGTCGCAGCTTGCTTACGAAGCATTGGCCGACAACCCAATCCGGGACCGCTTCGATGCGGAGGAACGCGATATCTACTTTGGTGATCAGCCTGAAATCGATGAGGCTTTGGCCCAACTCGACGACGCCGTTGCTCAACCCTTGTACCATATTTTATTTCTATGGATGATGCTGATTGGGCCCCTGGAAGAAGCTCGAGCTACTGCCTACGAACTGCGACGACGCCAAGTCCGACAACTCATGCCGACTCTTACCATCACTGACCCCGCTGCTTTGCCATTGAACCCCGACGGCAATGCTTTGGAATGCGTGGTTTGTAACGATGAACTCATTCTTGCTGAATCTACCCTCATCCAGCTTCCATGTCATCCCACCCATGTTTTTCACCAACAATGCATCCAAGTAAGCAATTTTTTCTACCCTCAACTATCATAATTCATCTCTGACCACTTCAATCCAATTCCTCTGTAGCCCTGGCTCGAACGAAGCCCTGGCTGCCCTCACTGCCGAGCTGTAGTTGAGCTACCACCTCTGGCGGACCCCCCGGCCTGAATCGATGTTGATGATAGTCTTTTCTTGTATCCTTCTAATTGTATTATTAAATTTCAATCCATAATGTTTCCCTACTTTCCTTACGAATAAATTATGATGATGAATTTTACCTGCTTTGAATCTCAAACACGGCAAAGCGCAACGCGCTCCATTTGACTGTATCTGGTATATACATTGATCAGCCACACCCGACACATCCAATACCTACCTAGAAAAAATTAATCACAAATGTGAGTTGTCTGAAGAACTGGTAAAATAAAAAGCAAGCCTTGAACTGAAGACAGCAATCTTGGCGAGATCTTAATAGTCGTGGTAGATTGAGTATGATCATGCATTTATTTGTGAGATTGAACAGAGTCGGTTAGCCCATGGAGCCGACCTTAATTTATTCCGTAGCGCAGTCATATCTCCAAGCGGATGGGGCTGGAGCCAGCTTACCAAGCCGATGCCCACACCACTCACTTTACCTGAGCCTCAAGCTGTCATTCAAACAAAGCAACTGCCAAGAAGCAGGGGAAAGCTGTTTCAAACAGTCGCGTTTTCGGCGCCAGTGTCTCAAACGCGTCGACACACGTCCAGGGCCCAAAAATCAATGATTTAGGCGCGCCCTCCACTGACTCAAAGCTTTGGAGGTTCTACTCCATCGATAGGTTTTCCTCATTTTCTTTGATGGATCTGCATGTCTAAGAAGACAAGCATTGTACTTTGGCTTATACCAATAGCCATCCGGAAAGTTTCCGGATTTTTGGCGCGAGCATTCCGGATGGCCGACCGAAGTGCTCGCGCCATCGTTGGTGCGGGTTTGTGGCTAGCATGGGTTAGCAGTTGGGCAATCGAAAACAAAAATTATCTGTTTTGAGCCGCGGCCACGGAAGGCACACCTCTTTCTGATGACTTCCTTACTGGCACAGGACTTTTCAATCATCGGAAACCATTAGCTAGACTCTTCCTGTCTTTCCAGGAAAAACAAGTGAATCTTACCTCTCAAATGGCTTGTGAAATTGACTTTGCCTAGGATTACATTAAGAGCAAGGCTTCACTTCGGCGAGTTCTTTTTTTTTTTTTTTTTTTTTTAATCATAAAGAACAACCTGGAAAGATGATTTCGCGCCTATTTTGTAGCCCAATCAATCTCAAATTCTTTGCTTTGGTAGAAGCCATACCAGTGAGGCAAGCAAGTTTTTTTTTGGAGCAAAAGGCTCAGCAACGGAGAGATGTAGTAGAGCTACTCACACATGATCACTTTACATACGTACCGGAGTTTGCTCAGATACCTGAATTGTAGCATCTATTCAGCTGAGCCTCCTCTGCAGCAGTCTAGACAAAGGATGCAAGTAGCACGAGTCCTCAGCACTTCAACCGCCAGCCCTACTACAAGTGCTGCTGCATTAAGGCTCAGCATTGATGAAAGGTATAAAGAGACGTACTCTTCCAGCCGCACCATCCCTCTTCCCAGCTCCAGCTTCTATCTCATCCCATCCCTCGCCTTCCCTTCTAAACTTATCCCCCCAAGAGCCACTCCAACAAAAGAAACCAATCTAATAAATATACAATATGGACGCAGAAATGTTAGCTCTAACGGAAGAGGCTTTGTCGCACCTCACGCCAGAATATGAATACCTCTTTCGCAGTCACTTCGATGCTTCACAACTTGCTTACGAAGCATTGGCCGACAACCCAATCCGGGACCGCTTCGATGCGGAGGAACGCGATCTCTACTTTGGTGATCAGCCTGAAATCGATGAGGCCTTGGCCCAACTCGATGACGCCGTCGCTCAACCTTTGTACCATATTTTATTTCTGTGGATGATGCTGATTGGGCCCCTGGAAGAAGCTCGAGCTACTGCCTATGAACTGCGACGACGCCAAGTCCAACAACTCATGCCAACTCTTATCATCACTGACCCCGCTGCTTTGCCATTGAACCCCGACGGCAATGCTTTGGAATGCGTGGTTTGTAACGATGATCTCATTCTCGCTGAACCTACTCTTATCCAGCTTCCATGTCATCCCACCCACGTTTTTCACCAACAATGCATCCAAGTAAGCAATGTTTCCTACCCTCGACTATCACAATTAATCGCTGACCACTTCAATCCAATTCCTCTGTAGCCCTGGCTTGAACAAAGCCCAGGCTGCCCTCACTGCCGAGCTGTAGTTGAGCTACCACCTCTGGCGGAACCCCCGGCCTGAATGGGTGTTGATGATAGTCTTTTCTTGTACCCTTTTAATTGTAGTATTGAATTTGAATTTGTAATGCTTCCCTACTTTCCTTACGAATAAATTATGGTGATGAATTTTACCTATTCTGAATCTAAAACGCGGCAAAGCGCAACACGCTCCATTTGACTGTATCTGGTATATACATTGATCAGCCACACCCGACATATCCAATACCTACCTAGAAAAGATGAGTCACAATCGTGACTCCCGCCTCATTTGAATGTCTTCACTGTCTGGGGTATGCTCACTCACTGAGCGACATTGAGAGATCCAATGTCAACTTAGAAAAGATGAATCAAAAACACGGTTCGTCTGATACCCTGATAAGATTAAAAATAGTCTTGCCCCGAAGTTGAATTCTAGCGTTCTTTTTATCTCGGTTTTTTATTTTATTTTATTCAGTAGTCTTGGGCTGTCTGTTGCATTTTTTCCCTTTCGGCTTGTCTCTTTCATTTTTTTATCATGCTACTTCTTTTCTTTTCTAACTTCATTTCTCATGAATCTATCGGACCCGGTGATTGTATTTGTTTTTTTGAGTCTTACTTCCCAATTTCCTCCGTTTCTTTTGATACTTACTCTATGTGAGTGTTCTCGAGACGTTGGTATCTTTCTTTTACAGATTCACATTGGGGAAGACATGTTCAGTGCCAGTTTATGCGGAAAGATGCCCCCTAATAAAGATCTACGTTACTGCTTCCTAATGAGAATTTACTACAGCAAGAGCAGTTATTGGTTGCTCACCAAAAAGCCCATGCTGTAGTCTGGAAACATCAAGTAGCGTTCCATCTTGGCCACCAGAAGCCACAAACCCAATGAGTTCCAGGATTGAGCAGCTGCGAGCTCTGAATTGGTCCTCCTTCCGGCGGTGATTCAACGTGACCAGTTCATCTTGAATGTCTGGTAAGCTGACGATGCCTCGTGCTGTGTTGCGCCTTAGTCTGCCGAGCGGCAAGAGGAGGCTATATCTCCGGGGCCAGTAAAGCTCATTTACATTGACTCGGAAGTCGGCCGGCAGCAAAAGTTGCAGGCACTTCTGGGTGTTTGATTTGCAGCGCAATAGCAAACATCTTGAATTCTTGTTTCCAAAAAGCACATGCGCTAGCTTCATCCGAGTGAATGCTTCCATTTGAAAACAGACGCGTCACAAGAGGAATTTCAGCCACGGAAAAGACTCAGGCCAGATGGAATAGTAGCCCATTCTGGATTATGTTCCGCAAAAATGTACATACTCAAAAGGCATCGCTCCATAGTTTCATGTTCCTTGGTTTGGCTCATTTTTCTCACACTCCCCTTGTGACGCGTATTCTTTCACAGAGAACAATTTGCTTTCCAATCTTGCAATTTGGAAAAGGCTTTGTGTCAAATGCATTTGACACAGCTCAAGAAGAGCTGAGCTCCACCGAGTCGTGGTGGCTATATAAAGGGTTTCGTTTTTCATCCTCACCAGGCCTCTCTCCCCATCCCCTCACAGCTTCATCCCAAAAATCGCTCCTCACGGATAACTCGCCCCACAGCCCCACACGCCAGCCTAATTCACCAACACAATGACCCCCAATTCCACATCCAGCGACTCGGAATCTGCTGCTGACCAACCCGGACCAAGCCCTGGCGGCGTCCTACCTGTTGAAGAATCTGTTGAGCCCCAGGCCTCCGCTCTGGAACCACAACTCCACGAGGAGCACGATGAAGCCCCCGCCACCCCTCAACGCCACCTGCCCCCCCATGCCGAGCATTTTGGGGAGGGAAATTGGATACAATTGCCTGAAGAACTCAACGGCACCATTAGGGCCCTCCTCGCAAACCTTCAAGGCCCCACCGAGATTGAATTAGACGAGGAGGGTGCCCCCAGACTTCCCGATGCGCAAGACGAACCTGCTGTTGCGCAAAATGCCCTAGCACTCATCCGTCATCTTGAAGCCATGCCAGCAATTGTCGCCGGTGAACCTCACCAGATTGATGCCAACCCCTGGCAACAAATGTTGCAAACTCTCACTCCTGAACAACGACGAGTCGTCGAAAATTTTGAGAATAGGACTATTACAGTCCGACGGGAGCTCGCTAACAACTCTGTCCAGAGCAACGATCCCATGGCAGTACTGCAAGGATACTTCTTTCACCTCGAGGAACTTCGCCGAACTCTGGCCCGCTTACCCCAAGAAACTGCGAATATGATTGAACAATTTAATTCCAATGCATTTCAGGAGATTGGGCGGTTGATGGTCAACAGTGATCATATCGACGTAGCTGCGCTACACATTGGTTACCTACTTGATAGCCTGCCCTAATGAACAACGAGCTTTAACAAGATGGTGATATTAGTGTCTAAACGACAACGACTAATATGACCTCGCAGATAATCACAAACCTTTAACAAGATGGTGATATTAGTGTCTAAACGTGTCAGCCTGCTACTATTCAGAGACAACCTGACCATAGCATAATAAATATTTAGAGACATTATTACATATACTACCCCCATAACATATGTAATTAATGTCTATTTTATATGTACATAATATAGAGACATTATTACATATGTACATATGAAAACATTAATATTTAATTAAGTGGAATCACTATAATAGAGACATTATTACTCATTACATTAAGTTTTACTAGTCATGAAAGAAAACATAAAAATAAACCAAAAACATTTTTAACATGAATCTACAAATAACTTCTAAACCTTAAGCAAAAGTTAGAATATTATTTCAGATTCTTAATTCTCATGCAAAATAACCTAGGGTACCTCACCAGAAGTACCCCTGAATTATTACTCCTTCAGGTACTTCTGTGTACTCTGAGTGACACTTGCTCATTTTGCTAAAAACCCTCCCAGTTACATCATACTACATGTTGTGACAGGTCTACATCTGTAATTAAGGTTCATGCAGTTCGGGAAAAATTTAAAAATAAGATTGACATCATTAAAACCTTAACTACATTGTCACAACAACTGTAACTGGCTGGTCAAAAGCCATTTGTGGCCCTTTTTGGCCCAATTTGGCTAACTACGCCTGGTTAAGACCAGCCCACTGGTCATTAAAGGGTCCAATTGGCCAAACATGGCTGAGGCTCGTCACAGCACCCCTTAGTGAGTGTACAAGCCTCACTTCAGCCCTCTCCCACCTGTAACAGGGACTACAGTGTCTAGGCAGTGCTACAGGTCCCCAATGCCTAGTAGGAGGCTTGCACCAGCCAAACAGAGTTCTGAGTTCGGCTCCAAGGCCCCAGAATGAGTATATAAGGAGCCCTTCTTATCCACGAACTCAAATTTCCCATCTTCATCACCATTTACCAGCAATAACCACCTCCAACAACCAGTTTTTAACCTGTTTTTGGCCCAGTTCCTGCTGTTTCTGTCTTGGATATCACCAACCCAGCCATCAACTGTTCCCCAGCACTCTTCCAACACCTGTTACCCAGTTTTTCTGAGCGCTCCCAGATCAGTTTTCACCCACCTGAAGTCCCCTTGGCTTGGAAATAGTACTAAGTAGGTAATATTCCTTGATACTTCAGTTGTAGGCATTTTGTCTGGGCATACTCCTTTACACAAAGGACCAGATCATCAGGTACATCAAAAATACCCCTGTTTAACAGGTCCTGATTCATTGGAGGGCACCATAAAAACCCCTGTAACTCAGGCCCCTCCCTTTATAAAAACTTAATAGTTTTTATTTCTTCTTTTCTTAATATCAAAAAACTCCCCTTTCCAAGTGTTACCCACACTTGTACATACCATTTTCTTAGTTTGAACCTGGTGTAGCTAGAAGAGACCAGCTCTTGGCATCACCCAGGCTGACAAAACGACAACGACTAATATGACCTCGCAGATAATCACAAACCTGAAGTTTAAGGTTGAGGTTAGTGAGAGAACGAGTTGGAGTTTGATGAAACAATTGATTGATTGATTTCATATACACACCTTTAACAAGATGGTGATATTAGTGTCTAAACGACAACGACTAATATGACCTTGCAGATAATCACAAACCTAGACATGAAGAGAGAGTTGAGATGTTAAGAAGACAACAACATGATCTGACTTTTTAATAAGAGAAACGAACCTGAAGTTTAAGGTTGAGGTTAGTGAGAGAACGAGTTGGAGTTTGATGAAACAATTGATTGATTAGAGAAAAGTACCGGTACAATGAAAGTAAGGTAATTATAGTCAATCAACTAGGTTTTGAGCTACAACTGCTGCGCTAATGATAATTGTGTATATGAATAAAGTATGCTTAAAATACGAGAAGAATAAATAAATAACTAACTTAAAAGAGAAAGTGATAAGTAAAACCTTTTAAGTTCAACATCCCCCCTGATTCTCAATTTTCTGCATCTTCAATAAAGTGTTTAAGATTCAATTTGAGATACCTAAGAAAGACTTGATGACGAGTGTTGGATAAAGCCTTGGTAAAACCATCAGATTGATTTTCAGCAGTCGGAATATAAAAGACCTTGACTAAATTTTCTTCAACTGCTTGACGATTGAAGTGATATTTGACGGCGATGTGTTTGGTTCGCTGTTGATAAAGGGGATTTTTGGAAAGAGCAATAGAGGCTTGATTATCACAAAAGATAGGAATAGGGTAAAGAGGTAAATCCAAGGATTCCAAGAGAGATTGCATCGAAATCGCTTCTTGAATACCTTCATACAAAGCCTTGTACTCAGCTTCGGTGGTAGACGACGCAACCGACGGTTGTTTTCTGGCCTTCCAAGAAAGAACTGAATCACCCCAGCGAACAAGATAAGCGGAGTATGATCTTCGAGAATTGACACAGTTTCCGTAATCGGCATCCACATAGACAGAAATTTTATTTTCACCTCCACCAATCTTCAACGAGAAATCGACCGTCTTAGCAAGGTAGCGTAACAAATGGTTGAACGCACGCCAGTGCAGAATACCAGGATGTTCTAAATGTTGAGACAATTGAGAAACCGTAAACGCAATGTCGGGTCTAGTCGCTACAGCCGCCCAGTTAACAAGCCCAACAGCGCGTCGATAGTTAACGCCTAGAGACAAGAATTCCGTTTGTTCTTCAGGACTTGCAATGACAAGTCGAGTGTTTGGAATCATTGGAGTAGAAACAAAGCGACAATTCAACAAGTTATATTCAGTTAAGATTTCTGTAATATAGTTTGATTGAGAAAGGGTGAGATGATCCTCAACGCGATTAATGTTCATTCCAAGAAGAGAGTTGATCGGGCCCAAGTCCTCCATTAAGAAACGATCCGAAATGAATTTCTTGAAGCGAGCGACATCACCGGAAATGACCACCAAGTCATCCACACACACATGCACGAGACAAAGCCAATCGGGATCATTGCTCTTGAAAAGACAAGGATCATTCGCAGTTGGCGAAAAATTGACCGAGGCGAAGAAGGATGCTAGTTCACGATACCAGACTCGAGGTGCTTGCTTCAAGCCATAGATCGACTTGATTAAGCGAAGACAAGTCCCGGGTGGAGCAGTCAATCCGGCAGGAATACGTAGATAAACGGTTTCTTCCAAAGTGCCGTTTAAGAATGCGTTCTTGACATCCATTTGATGAATGTCAAGACCGTTATTCACCCCGTAAGTCAACACAGCACGTAGAGCCGGTGCTCTTCCAGTCGGAGCATAGGTTTCGTCGTAGTCAACACCGCTTTGTTGAGCACTTCCTTGTGCACAGAGCCTCGCTTTAAATTTGACGAAGTTACCAGCAGCATTACACTTGATGCGAAAAACCCAAACGCTGCCAAGAAGAACCGCTCCTTCGGGAATTGGAGTAACCTCCCATACGTTGAGGCGATCCATAGCAGAAAGCTCCGTCTTGATGGCTTCAATCCAGTTGACCGAATCAGGAGAGTTAACAGCAGCTTTGTATGTTTTTGGTACAGTATTAGCTTCCTTGATCGAACTAAAACAAAGGCTTCTGTTAAAGAAAGGAACAAACCACGGTTCAGAAGTCTCTTCTTGATTCACAAGATGAGCCCGACGTTTGGTGGTTAGGATGTTGTTGGGATCAGTAGGATTGGATGAAATGTTTTTTGGTGCAAGTTGATCTGCAGGAGCGTAGTACCAACCAGGTTTTGAAGTTGAGGTGGTTGAAGTAGACGGAAGTGGTGATACAGAAGATGGTTGTTGACCAGTTTGAAGACCAGCAGTTGCAGTTGGTGAGACTGCAGCCTGCGCATCAACCGGTTCAACTTCCTCTTCAATATGCAAATTTGATGACGAAGGAGTATCCGAAGGAATGGAAGAATCCGCAGATAACCCAGTACAATTAATCGGCAAACCAGAAGAAGAAGATTCCGTAGAAGAATCTTCCTCAATGATAAAGTCATTATAGACTGGCACACTCGGGGAGATTCCTGGAAAAGAAGATTCATTGAAAGTCACATCATGACTGTACTCAACCCGAGTGCCCGTCAGTATCCTCCAGTTAGGAATACCCAGTCTATACCCAACAAGAATGCCGGGTTTAGAGGTGTCGCCAAATTTTCCCTTCCTTAAATCACCAGGAATGTTGAGAAAAGCTTGACAGCCGAAAATTCTGAGTCTTGAGTAATTGAAAACGAATCCAAACCACAGTTCATGAGGAGTTTTCCATTTTAGCTTTTTCGTAGGAGTAATGTTCTCATAAAGGACGGCAGTGGTGACCGCCTCCCCCCACAAAATAGAAGGTAAACCTGCCTCTTTCAAAAGTGACCTAGCCTTCTCACTCGTTGTGCGATTACCCCGTTCCGCCACTGAGTTTTGTTGAGGAGTGTACGGTGCCGTGATGTGATGCTGAACACCCCAATCCTTCAAATATGCCTCAAAAATCAAAGAACAGAACTCGCCCCCACCATCGGTAACTAGATTGATGAGTTTTTTAGAATGAAAAGTAGTGACTTCTTCATAATATTCCTTAAATTTCTCAAAAGCTTGATTTTTCGATGATAAGATGTAAACATGTAAACATGTTTGTAACCAGAAAAAGAATCTGTGATTTTGAAGTAGTATGAGGCTTTTCCTAAAGTGGACGGAGTAATTTTTCCGCTGAGATCCATGAAAACATAATCTAGGATACATTTTGGTTTTGGAAGTTGGCTAGAGAATGGCAGTCGATGAGATTTAGAGAGTCTACAAGCTGTACAATCCATAGTGGAAAAACTAGCATCAAACATTTTTCCTAAAGCTTCTCGACTTGGGTGACCGGCTCGCCTGTGAAGTAGTCCAGAGTCAGTATTTGATGAGACTTTGAAAGACGATGAACTAGCCGACAGACCTTGAGGTTGAACAACAGTTGCTTTCAAGAC